AGGGGGAGGGGGAGGAGGGGATGGGGTGGGGGGAGGAATGAGGGCGGGAGATAGGATCGTGCTGGACGGTTGGCGGTTGGCGGTTGACAGTTTGGAGTTATGGCCGTACTTACACAGCTGCTGCTTGTGTTGATTTGTCCGTAAATTGGAGATGTGCACATTGCGGTGTTGCTGTTATTGCTGGTGGTGCTGTGCAGGATAAGATGGTGCAAACCAAGGAGGAGGACTGCAGCAAAGCAGCAAGTCCGGGGGGAGGTGGGGCGGGCGGAGGAGTCCACAGCTCTCAAAGTGGCGCTGGCCGCACCTGGTACGCCATACAGGCGCAAGCGAGCGGAACGTAAGATGCGCGACATGACCTAGTGTGTAAGTGTCGGTCTGTTTGTCTGTCTGTCGGTCTGTCTGTGTCTTAATCATCATTCTGTTTTAATGCATGTCTACGTGTAAACCCCGCTGCCTCCCTTCTGCACTTCTGTACGTATGTACGGCTACTTCCTCCTCCGTATTATGATGGCGCTTAAAACTCCGTACCTACTTGCCGTACAGTGTAACCCACATGGCCCCGGAGGCGGTTCTGAAGAGTGAGTTCAGTGGGGGGGGTGCACCAAAACCGTGTGCTGCCGTCTCAGCAGACATCCATAGCAAGGGTTTGGGAGAGGTTGCGAAAGGGAGAGGAAGGGGTACGTTGGGGGGTAAAATGTTGAGAGGCGGGAAAAAGGTTGGGACAATATTGCCAAGTGAACACACACATATATACGTACATATATGTATGTCACATATGTTCATTTGTACATATATCTGTGTCCCCTCCCCCCCCCTCCCCTTCCCCCCCGTCCAGATGCGCGCATAGACTCCTCTGTGGACATTTACGCTCTGGGTATCATATTTTGGGAGCTGGTGTGTGGTCGGGGCCACAGGCCATTTAAGCACCTAGACCCCGGGGCCATACCCGCAGCGGTCAGGGCGGGAATGAGGCCGATCTTCACAGCCGACGTGGCGGCGCCGTACAGGTACGGCAGAAGCCATACACGGTCGGGACGTTGGGGCCAGCTCGTGCGGTGCGGGTGGGCGTGTGACCGTGTGGGGATCGGGGGACGGCTGTGGTGGGTTCGGGGATTGGGTTCGGGGAAGCGGGTGTGTGCACTCATGCAATCATCCCGGGTAAAACTTTTGGTCACCTATTTTACGAAATTGTCGCCTTCAGGTGACCAGACATCTTACACGGCGGCCGGGCCGTAGTGTACGTGCTCATGCACGTACATATGTACAGACAGACAGACATGCTGGGTAAATGCGTTTTCGTTCGCCTGCCTGCGGGCCTGCCGACCCGTCCATAGATATTCTCCTCCTCCGCTGTACGACAGCATTAAGGTACGACATCGCCATGTCTGGGCTCACTGCATGTCACTCTTCTGCCACATCCCACCGCGTCTCACTGAAAACCCCCTCCCCCTCTTACAACCCCCCAACTCTACGTGATATTGCAAAACCCGCACCCGTCCCCTCAGGAAAATGGCTCAGGCCTGTTGGGCCCAGGAACCGCACCGCCGTCCTCGCGCGGCTGAGGTGGTGTCCTTCATCAAGGCGCAGCTTGCGGCGCTGGGGTGAACCCCTGGCCCCAGGCACTGCATAAGCCCCCTTTAGGGCTGTAGCAGCAGCAGGGGCAGCGCTATGGGGCAGTCGCCTGCACGGCCATCCGAGCCGCAGCAAGAAGAGCGGGAGCAGGAGCCGGAGCCCAACACCGCCACCTGATCGCTCCCTCACGCTCTCCCCAATACAGTCAAAACACATACATAAATACACACATACACACATACACACATACACACACATACACACATACAGAGTTACAGCTACACAGTGTCCGTACAAGTGCGGGGGAGACCCGCCAAAGTGGGGGATCTATGGACCGTTCATAAATGTCAATGTTACGGTGTCGGTGAGGCGACTGTCGACATCCTCCCAGCCCATTTGTTGCGTGCGAAGGGCGGGAGCGCCTTGCCTTGCAGACCACGGAGAGAAAACTATCTATACATACATACATACATACATACAACACACCTTACAGGTGATATTTATGTACTGCATTCATTTATATTTGACGCGATTGTGAGATGTTGGCCGCAGGAGGGATAACTACCAACCTTGGTGGTGGTGATGGTGGTGGTGGTGAGCTTTCTCTTCCCCCAGGTGTGGCCTCCCCGGGGGCTTCAGAGTCCTTCTAGCTGCCACTCTTCCCCCGTGACTGCCTCCTTTGCTTTTGCGTGATGATTTAAGGAAAGGCCAATTATTATGATTGACAGTATGAAATGTATTTATCTACTTCCGGAGGCAGCTCGAAGATCCGCTGTCTGCATAAAACATCAAAGAATGCGCTCGACAGCAGAAAAGATTTGGTCAGCGTACACGTGTGGTACGTGGGCAAAAGCGGACTCAGATAGTTTGGATTCTGTTCCCCAGGGCCGGGGTGCCAGGAGGGGGGCTTTATAAGATAAAAGATAAAAGAAGTTTCTGGACCTGCCTGAAGCGGGAGGTTCTCAAAAGGCCGCTCAGAGGAGTTCCATTGCTGCGCCATGTTTCCGTCGTCACCACAGAGCCTTTATGGGGGTAGCGGGTGGGGCAAACTCGTAACTTGACCCCGGCGTCCGACCCTGTCCTTTGATATGTACGGCATACACACACATATATACATGCACGCCGGGGTGTACGGCATCATACCTCCTTACGGCCATCTCCGACACGTTGGACGTCTGCACCATTCCCCTGGTGGCGTCCAGGGGGGGAGAGCTCTTCACGCATTGGTTTGGTTCCGGGGCCGCCCGAGTCGTTTTTTCTTTGGCCATTGGATTCAAAAAACGGGAGGTGAGGGGGAAAGGGGCAGGGGGAACACATACAACCGCCCTGGTCTCGGAGCCCCATGAAGCCCCCTGAAGCTAGAGACGCCTAGCAGGAGATCTTCCCACCTCACGAACCGTTCGGGAACTCTCAGATGGTGGGGTACATGGCGTGCGTTTGGGCCGGCCGTCACGGTCTCGCCCCCGCTCTCGCATGCATGTGTGCATGTGTGTGTGCGTGTGTGTATGTGTGCGGGTGTTGTGTGTGTGGAAAGGGCGGGGTGTATGTGCAGTTTTGTCTTCTGAAAGCGCCGAAACAGAGCCGCGCCTGTGTGCGCCTGTGTGCCTCTACGCCTGCCTGCGTGCCTGTCTGCTACATGCCGATGTTGCGGCCCTCCCCCCCCCCGGGGGCCTTCATGTTGCGGAGAGCGAGCTCTTGCGGGTGGCTGTGCGGGTGGTGGCGGCAGGCGGGTCGCCGAGGGTGCGGTGTCCGGTGCGGCCCCTGTCAGAGCCGCTTGCTGCTGCTGCACGGTGGCCCCCCTGGGTAGCGCAGTGCAGTGCAGTGCAGTGCAGTGCAGTACAGTGCAGTTACCGATATGTAACTGCTCAGAGTCTCTGTTGGCGGCTGGTCAAAACGAAATGCCAGATGCAGATAAGACTCACACGCGCGCACTCACAACAGTGAATGCTGCTGGGAGGTGGTGACCCAAGCACCCTTTGAAATTGCTGCTGCCCTTTCCGACAGGCAGGTTATCATGCAAAGGAAAGGGGCATCGTTTGTGTGTCTGTATGTATGTGTATCTCTGTGCTTGTGCGCGGGGGGAATGTGACACCGCAAACACACAGTTATGTTTTGTACGGGCCTTTGCGTACGGCAACAACGCGGTGCACTATGGCGCGGCGCGGGAGAGCTCGTAAGAAGGGGTTGGAGTCGTTATGGCAGTCAAGGGAAAGGTGACGGGCGGTTGAGGCCTCCGGGAGCTGCCAACGGCCGCTTGTGCGGGAGGTGGACAGCCGAATGGTTCCCCCCGTTATCTTAGGGTTTTGAGAAGGAATGCGTGGGTGGATGGGTTGCGGTGGTGGTGCGTCCTGTCGGCCTGTAGCAGCTGGCGCTGAAAAGGCCTCTCAAGATGCTGATGGAGCGCGTATTTGTGGGCGATATGTGTGCCGTACTATGTACGACAATTACTATACCCCTGTTGGAGCGACAGATGCACACTTTGTTGAATGCGGTGGGATAGTTGCCATTGGCCCGTTCGCGCGTTCGTGTCCCACATGTGTACGACACGTCTACCATCGTGACATGTCTGTACGATCTCCATCCCCTGCGCCTCGACGGGTGCTAATGCTTAATACATGTTAGGGGCAATGGGACTCGGTGGGGGGTGGAATGTAACCCGGGGGTATAGCAATAATCCTTGTCTAGCCTTGTTTGAATTTATGCTGGTATAGTATAATGTGTTGGAGGTTAGG